GGAGAGTTATTTCCTCTCAGAACACACTTGCTGCAGTAGCTGGCTGTTGGCTGTAATCTGCGTGGTGTGTTCAAGTGCCACTTTTTGGCCCAGACAAAAAACGGCAATGGCGACCAGTTCTTTGATGTTGGCTTGGTTTTTCTCTGCCCTAAAATGTTACAGGTTTTCTTTACACAGGTTTTCATAAAGTTTGTGTACAGTCAGCAATGTGTGACCTAAATGAAGTACTACATAACAGACAAATTGTATAGATGTGTCCAATAATATACATTAATGTGAAATGTGCATGCTGCATAACTTTTACTTATAATACTTACAGGTATATATAATACTACAGGTATATTTTGATACTAATATGTTTGTACTTTTATTTAAAACTTGGAAAGTAGGACTTTTACTTGAAACTGAGTATTTGTACACTGTGGTATTGCTACTTATGTAAAGGATTTGAGTACCTCTTCCACCACTGTTCAAAATGCATGATTACATTATGTTATTTTAAAATGTATTTTTACAGTGTTGTGCTATTTGTGTTGAAGGCTGAGAATCACATAGCCATGAGAGGTACAGCTGCTGCATTTTCAGGCAAAGTGCAGGTAATTGTCTTTTTGTAATTAATGTGGTCTGGTTGTTACACATGCTAACAAGGTAAATAGTGAGCTCAGAGAGGAGGAGAGGTTTTATCCAGATACTCACCCTTCCCAGTGCTCACAGTCGAGAAAGAGTTGGAGGCGCTGGAGGAGGAGGTGGTAGTGGTAGAGGAGTTGCAGGAGGATGAAGTGGTGGTGCAGGTAGAGGAGGTGCTGGAGGACGTGGTCGAAGCTGGGATGAGCCCCTCCATGTCGGCTGCACTATGGGAGTGTGAGAGACAGAGGGCGCTCATCGGCAGCAAACCTTCCTGCAAGGAAACACAGGGCTGATGTTAGATCAGTCAACTTCCTCTGCTAAAAGCAAAGCTGTCCATCAGTAAAGTCTCTCTCATAGTAAAGGATGGAGAAGGACCATACTGCATGCCTCTTTAATTGATTGTTGTATTAATTAATAATCTGCTGCTTATCTGTGCTGTATGTGGGGATGTTTAATTATTTTTATTACTTTTGAGGACATTAAGTCTGTTACCTTTGTTACTTGTGAGGACTTGATGTTAAGGCCCATTATCTATTGAGATGCCTGACTGATTACCTGCTGGGGCGTTTGATCTGTCGTTCTGACCAGACACCACCCGGGCCTCTCGGCTGAACGCTCCACCAGCTCCACAGTCTGACCACAGCGAACACTGAGCTCTCCTGGTCCCCCGGAGGAGAAGTCCAACAACACCACCACTAACTCACAACCTCCGGACAGCTGGAGAAACAGACACACACACGGGACAGAGAGATCAGTTTGTTTACCTCCAGTGGACTGAAGATACACTGTCTCACCATGCTTACAAGTTACTGTTACATAATAATAAAGGGCCGTTATTACGACCAGTATGAGAAGCTTTTAAAGTAGAAGCAGTCTGTAGCAGGGCCATCCCACCAGCAGACACTCATTTTTACACACAGAGGAGTGTGTAGTTCGGCCCCATTACCTCACCACTGCTGCAGCTGGCTGGGTGTGTTCATTAACACTTGAACAGGCAAAATGCTGAATGTGTTATTTAATGTTATGAAATATGACACTGAAGGTACTGTATCATCAAAGGAATTACAGGAGTGTGATGCTCTCTCTTCAGATAATATCCACAAAAGAAAGTACGAATTACCTCCAAGATTCATGACAAATGATGCTCCGATAAAGCATTAAAATGTACATTTAAAATGATGTGCACTTTGCAGAAATATAATCCTTCACCCGTCCAATCACAGCAGGTCACAGTGAGCTCTGATTGGCTAAACATAAAGTGAAAAATACCACGTGACCTGGACCGTGAGATGAGGTGGTTACCAGTGACTCCAGCTGGTGGAGGAAACACAGACACAATCTATAGGGAACAGTGGGGTATTTGCATCCAAATTGAACACAGCTGGGATCGGCTGTACAGCCCAGCTAGCATCACACACACACACACAGGATCACTAACACATGCATGTGTAGGTGGAAAGTACCTCAGTATGTTTACTCAAGTATGATTCTAAAGTAATTGTACTTTAGAATATTTCCAGTTTGTACCCTTACTCCACTACATTTAACTGTACTTTTCTTGTGTTTTTTCTTTTCTTCACTGTGCACAAACCTCGTCCAGAGACCAGCAGCACCCGTGAATGTGGTGTCCTCCCCGTAATGTGTTTGAGTCCAGACCCTGGTTCAGCTTATCGCTCTGTGCTGTAGACCTCCACTGTTGTCCACCAGCTTCCTTTATGCAGATCACTTGGTCTAGTGCTGTTTGGGATAGCTCCAAATACCCCTCTGTTTTAGCTTCATCATCACATTTTAGCCCTCTTTCACAGCACAGACCTCACTGAACAACTGATTTATGTTTCTCTGTCATCTGACTGCAGCAAGCTTAACTGTGTATGCCCTAAACATGAACAGCTCACAGCTAGAGGGGTCACAGGTCATAGCATCCAGCCACTAACACCACCCTCAGCTACTAACTTAAAGCAGGTCATATAAATCAAACATACCTTGTCCACAGAGCAGAAAAGAAGTGAAGGTTTCCAGAAAGAATGAGACGATGAACAGAAGAAACTCCCAACACACACCAAACACACCCACACCCACACCCAGCCAGCTGCAGCAGCGGTGAGGTCATAAAACTGCTCGACCCACCCCTCTGAATACACACTGTGTGTTTCTGTGTGTAAGTGTGTGTCACCTTGTCGCTGTCAGCGGTGTTTTGGGATGTTCTGGAGGCAATGGAGACGGTGTCGGGCTGACTGCTGGCATCACCCAGACTGTCTGCGTCCTCGCTGGTCTCCCTGACAATTTAGGAACAGAAATGTGTCCAGTCTGGAAGGGTCAGGTACAGTTCCAAAATACACTATATGTCCAAAAGTATCTAGACACTCCATGTGTTTTCACAGTTTTTTTTTGTCATTGTTTCATCCAGCAATGGGAAACCTTAATGCTGCAGCACTCTAGAGCAACAACCAACAGTTATTTTGATTATTGATTACTCTCTTGATTTTTTCCTACTCAGCTGTTCAGTTTAAATATTGAATAGAAAATAGTAAAACATGCCCATCCCAGTTACCCACAGCCCACAGTGACATCTTCAGACATCTTGTTTTATGTAACCAACAGTGCAAACGTCAATAAGCAACTAAAGAACAGAGAGAATATTAACATTTGAAACCAAAAAAGACTCAAAAGAATTAATAGATTATTAAACTAGTGGCCAATTAATTATTTGTTGATTATGATTAATCAGTCAATTGTTGCAGCTGTACAGCTGTGCAATGATAGAGAAAAAAGAGAAAATTCAGTCTTTTTTAAAACACATTTTCCACTAACAACTGACCATGGTTTTGTAATCACATGCTCAACCATCACATACTGTTTGCCTGAAATATTTGGGCAGCCACATAGTGTAATAATTGGCTGAAGATTTATCTGCTAAATTACCAGATAAAAAGAGAGAGCCTGTGTAAACTGGTTGTTTGAAGTAATAAACTGAGTATTTTCTGAATGAAGCTTTTGTGCAAACCTGCGAGTGATGCTGCGCTGTCGCCCCAGAGTGGGGTTGGGTGTCTTTGGGAGTGGGATGGGCTCCCTCAGCGCTCCCCGCAGGTGACCCCGCCTCTCCTGGATCACCTGGCGAATGCTGCGGACCCACTCTTGCTTCAATTCCAACGAGGATGCCTGTGGAGAGAGAGAACGACAGGTAGAATGTCCACAGACCTTTCACATGATCATTAACATGTAATCAGGTGGAAGTCAGAGAGAGTTAATCCGCTGGCGTGCACGTACCTTCAGTACCGTCTTGTTGTCAGATGTCGGTGTCCGTCCGACCCACAGGGCAAACTTGCAAGGATCCCCCTCGATGTGCTCTGTTACACCAAGCTCGGAGGTCTGACAAAGAGATGGGCAGTACGAGTGATGCACAGACAGGCTGATCTGTTGTATATGGGTGATGAGTTCCTCCTGTTTTGTTTTTGGTCTGACCTGATTGTCGGGACAATTTACCAGTCTGTGACTTTTTGAAATTTGAAATTCAAGTGTGGTTCTTACCCTGAGCCTGCTCTTATAAAGGTATTTGGTACGTCCGGACGAGTCTTTGATCTCCTTGCTGAAGATGAGTGACAGCTCGAACAAGAAGAGGTGTCGGTCCCGACCCTTCCTGATTAGAGACTTCGGCTCCCAAACCAGGAAGGAGTCCTGGAGGAGGAGCTCGCCCTGAACCTCCAGACCCTCCTCCAGACCTGAAAGTCCCAGAAAGTAAGTGATCTGATCTGTCTTAGTACATTTGAAACTTTAGACTCCAGAAGACCACAGACGCTTCACAATTAAACTGCTCCAGCTCTTTTTATCAGGGATTTTGCTGTGAAGAAGCTGCACGTCTTTAAGAAAAGCTGCTTCATAGTAAAAAGCTAACAGCTTTGTGACAATAGAGCTGCAGCTGTTTCTTAATAAAAACTCCCTCATAGTAAAATAAAGACTTTGTAAAAATCCTGTAACCGCTTCACAGTAAAAGCCCTCAAACTGCTTTAGAGTAAAAGACCTTCAGCTTGTTAACAATAAAAGACCTGTTCTTTCACAATAAAATTTCTCTGGCAATTGTAAAGCAAGGAGTTTTTGCTGCAAGCGTTTAATGTGAGGCATCAATAGGGACATGGGGCCAAGTCCCTCTTGCATACCCCATATTTAAGGCCAATCACTCAGATATTTTAAGAATGTTGTGTTAAATCCCTGGCAGACTGACTTCATGTTAAGAAAAGTGAACTGTTACCTTCCAGCATGCTAACATGCATAGCATCGTTTGCTCTCTTTGGGACGCTCAGCATCACGTCCAGGCCTTCTTTGATCTCGCCTTTGCCCTCCTCGCAGCACGCCAACAGCTCCTACAAGCAAACACACCGAAAACACAGGTATGTTCAGAAAATGACACGGTTGTTCTAAAACCAGTGTGGTTTTTAAACTTACTGTGTGTTCTCTCAGTGTTTCATTGAGTATCATTTAGTTTAAAAACAGTCACTTATCCATTATAATAACCCAGGATGTACAACGCAGCATGCATTACACTTCCTTACAAAAACATTTTATACACTGTGCTAATATATATAAGTATTAGTCTACATATTATTCATAAAGCCAATCAAATCCATGCAAACAAAGATTAATTAATAAATGCATAAATAATTAACAGGCTTAATTGGTAGCTGTAGTTCATCACATTAACACTTCATCTTTCTTATACAAACAAAGGTTTCCTCTTAGTTTCTGTGCTGAATTTGCATGACAGTTTCTCTCTGTTTTGACAGTTGAGAATTATTTTTGTGACCACTTCTTTGTAAATAAATTCAGACCATTTACTTTTTCTTAACACATTTCTGTTGTCCATTGTTCCTCCCCAAAGTATAACATTGTGTTTTAAGCAAAATGAAAGTTAAAGACTGTGCTCCATTCTTGACAACCTTGAGGAAACTGAAAGAAGACGCAACATAAAAGGTGCAGCTGGAGAGTCTGAAGTGCTGAGTCCTGTGTTTGTCATTCTTTGGGCTCCATATAAGCTGTTTTCTCCTCGGAGGTGTGTGAGAAGCTTGTGTTTGAATGTGGCTGCAAAGTGAAACTCAGTAAGATTACATAGCCTTACCTTGAGCAACAGCTGGTATTTGGTGATCCTCTGAACTGGTTTGATAAGAGCTGAGGAGATGGAGTTAGCGAGACCATGTCGCCTCTGGACCTCCTGAACCCAAACACAGACCAAACATGTTAAAAGAAAAATCTCGAACAAACTGTAAAGTGTGGCCCTTCTCCACCCTACAGACTGGCTGATACCATTCCTTAACTGATGGAAAGTAAATACTGTGACTAAGACTAGATCCTGTTTTGCGTTTGCTCTGTTCATATTAAGCACAAGCTTTTTCTCTTTTCCTTCCTCTTTTCATGCACCACATCTCTGATTTGGAAGGAACACAGTGTCAAGCAACAGTCTTTCTGTCTGCAGAACATAGAGTTTAATAGAGTTCCTCTTACAACTTGGGTTTGTGCCATTGGCCTCAGTTATTACAGGCCACACAAACTCAAAGTCAGTTGCTGCCCCCGAGTTACCTTCAAAACTCACTACCAGTGGAAAAGCACAGGGTTGGAGCTGTCTGACTGGTGTATCAATGGGACATGATAAATAAGACATCCGCAGAGTTTCCACAGCAGTACAGCCCCCACCACCACCACATCCCCTGACCTCGAAGAATCCCACGCCGTGTTGTTGGATCAGTAAACTGGAGTCTGGCTTGTTCCTGCAGTACGTCACGTACATGTGGAATTTATCAGCCTGAGACACAGAGAGAGAGAAATATTTGTTATAGTACTACTCATAGTAAAGAGAGTAGAGTATTTAGATTTTAAATGGATTTAAACTAAACCAAAGTAGTTACCCAGGTAACGAAGCAGTGTCCAACATCTTCAGGAAGCTGCTCATAGTTTTCCAGCTCCTTCAGGAAAATACTGCAAAACACAGACTACTGCATTATATCTGTCTCTACAGCATACCGTTGTATTGCCAACATATGTACATTGTTGATACTGCAGTTGTGTAGGATGTATGCAGTATCCATTGTGATACATGGAGTTTGTATTGGCTTTGTGTAAACCTATAATATATATTGCAGAATATTTTGCAGTATCTTTCGTGAAACTTGTAGTTGCTGGGATATGTACTACAGTAGTACGTGTATAGAAATATATTTTGCAGTACCTGTTGAGACTGATAGTGGTCAAATTTGTGCATCAGTGCAGTCCATGTTGTAGTATATTTTGCACTTGGATGTATAATAATAGTACAGTAACTACATTGTAGTATCACAAAATATGTTTTTTCAGTAACTGTGAAAGTCAGATGGTGTGGATGTTTTCTACTGTAGTACATTTATTGCAACATATTTTTCAGTACATGTTGTGGAACTTGTCAATGTTCTGAATGTTTCCTTCTGCAGTACGTGTACTGCAGTACCTGTTGTGGAACTCGTAGATGTCCTGGATGTTTCCGAACACGATATCGTCCTTGTTGGCGAGACCAGGAGGGATGTCCTCTGAGCCGCTCGTCATCTCCCACAGGTACGTCTGCACCAGGATGCAGTATTACCATCAGGAAGTACTATCGACTATGATGTAGGACTATATGGTATCATGAATTTGATAGTAAGCAGTCAGTAATAGGAGGTTCTGGTTGACTTTCATATGTGTACCTCGATACACTCCTGCAGATCTCTGACATAGACTCTCTCTGTTTGAAGTAGCTCAGCCATGATGTACCTGAGAGCACAGACAAAAACACAGATGTCATCATGGCATGTACAGCAATTGTACTACTAAAAATACTGACACTACTCACTCTTTCTTGCGGGCAGAGCGCCTCTTCTCATCGCTGACCTGGTGGCTGGGGTCAGACAGGTTGACCTCAGGATCAGAGTCAGACAGACTGTTGGGGATCAGCTCCAGCTCCAAGTCCTTATTGTCCTGAGAGGGACACCGTACAGCGCACTCATTAAAAGTAGGTTTACCTGCATGTCAACACATTGTTGTACTATCTGGACACACTACCTGTGAGCACCCTCCCAGCGCCACCTCCAGCAGGTGGCGGTACTGTCCCATCCGTACGGTGAAGTCGCGGTAACGTTTGTCCACCGTGGAAACGCAGCGGCGAAGCTCTGCACGGTGGGCGTGGCCTTTAGTTAGCATGCTCTCAGCCAACTGGATCAGCAGGTGAACTTTCTCCTGGGTGTGCTGAGAGAAATGATTTAATGAGACTTTAATTTGATTCAGCTTCATTCAGTCCTTTTCTGGTTTTAACTGTGGCACTGTACGCGTTTTCCAACCTTGGCAGAAACACAAAACTCTCTGTGCTGGGTCAGCAGTTGTTGCCACCGTTGCACCTGGTGACGTGTGTGTGGCCAGGTAGTGGTCACCTGACTGCTGTAGCCAATCCAGAGCCTGCGATCAAAAGTCATGTTAAAATACAGTTACATTATCCTTCTGCTCAAAAAAATGTTCGTACAAGCAGACTGCAAAAAGCATGTAACTTATCATTTTTACTTTACTACTGTGTCACCGCGTTAGGTTTTTAGCTTTTTTGAGTATGTGGCTGATTGATCAAAATAAAAGCTAATGGTAAATCCAAAGTTTATGAAAATGGATGACTGGATCTTTTAAATGTCTGAGTTTCAACTCCCAAGGCAAATAATTAAGTACTTTTACTCAAGTACTAAGTATTTACTTGAGTATTTCGATTGTATTCTACTTTATATTTGCATTCCACTACATCTGAGAGGGAAATATTGGTAGACAAAGCTCCAATTAAAATCACATTAATTCAACACAAAGGTAAAATCCTGACCATAATAGGTGACTAATGCTACCAAAACAAACAGGTTAGCTTTAGATGCTAACATATCCAGTTTGTTGATGAATGCCACATCTGAATTCAGTCTGAGTCCTCTGGCTGTTTTTAACTCTCTCTATGTCAAACAGCCAAACCAGTGCTAACCCTGGTTGTTGCTCTTTCTTTCTTTCTTTCTTTCTCTCTGTGTGCAAAAAATGGCACCTCTTCACTGTGGCAGCCAATGGTTCAGACTTTTAGCTGTCATGGGCAGGGGGTATATCTGAGTTAATGCACCTTTAATAATCAACATGTTTGTTTGTCTACCTGCTGGGTGTGGTTCTGGAACATCAGGTACTGCTGGCACTGATCCAGTCGACGTTTCTTTAAAGTCCAGAAATGAAGAACTCTGTTTTCTCTCTGCAGCAATTCACTAAGGATACCTGTTCACACACAGACACACCTCAGTCAGAAAAGTCACTACTGTACTGCCCATGTATAAAAACAAATTAACTCCTCAGGGCTCTGTCCCAGATCCACTATACTTCAAATGTACACTAAACAACACATATTTCTGTGTTTCTTTCTTCACCTTTGACCTGTTGCTCCGGTACCCTAGAGTGCCCGGTGATCTCGGTGACCCCCGTTACCCCGGAGACAGTGACGCTGTGGCCTGAGATGTTTGCCATGGTGACGCTGTTGCGGTGGATGTACTTTAGGAAAACCTCAGCGTTTCGTCTTGCCAGAGTGCATGCCTGTCGCCATGGAAACAATACTGTTAGGGACCCTGTCATATGACATATGACAACAGCATATGACTTTTGTTAAATGCCCTTCATTTAATTATGTGCACAGTTAAGGACTGTTCAAGGCCCGTAAAACACTGCAAGTTTACAATGCTTTTCCAGATCTCCTCACCTTGAGAAAGGCCTCTTTCTGCTCCATGTGTTTGTTGATGATTGGCAGGAGCTGCTCAGGCTGTCGCTCTCCTCCTCCACACCAGTCCTCCTCCCTGCGGTACTCCTGCTCCAGACTCTCCAGCACCCCACACACCTGCAGAGGCAGATGCACAGGTAACAGATAGGCAGACAGGTGGTACAACAAGTAGACAGACAGACGGTGTTACCTGCTGTGATGTCCTGTAGAAGGCGGCCGAGGCGTTGACCAGTTTGAGTCGGTCCTCGATCGTCAGCATCAGAGTCTGCCAGTGCAGTGCCACCGTCTGGGCACAAGACCGCACTGCATCTGGATCATAGTGACCTGACCTGAAGGGTGAAAATCAGAGGTCATATGACTGGGGAAAGTACCATAAAAATGTAATAACATGTTCATACCTACATTGAGATTAAAGATTAATAACTCGCCATTTACAGTTAACTAGTATTGATATTCAGACAGTAACTAACCTGACCAGCAGTTCTGCTCTCTGCTGCAGCGCCAGAGCCACCTGATGAGTCCTCTGAAGAGAATCTGCATGAAGGAGAGCCTGCAGAGACACAGTGGAAGAGAGGGGATGTTCTATTCATTTCCATTAATCTAACACAATGATTTGTGTGTATGATGAAGTGTAATTTTTATATCTGTCTGTGGTGATGGACAGTGGGCACATTAGCTTCATCCTCTGGCCAGGTTCTTAACATAGTGGATTAATTTCAGATGAGATGGTCCCAGTCCTTTACAAAACACTAAGTAAAACCCTGTTTTTATGTTTTTACTGATCTCAGCTGAATGTTCCATCATCTCTTATGTGAAAAAAAAAAATCTAATGCTTATTTCTTTGTATTATTTCCACTAATAGGGGTGTGCTGTTGGAGCTTCTTTTAGTGTGTGTGCAGTAACCTCTATGGCCTGTTGGAGGCGCTCATGCTCCCTCTGCAGCTGCTCAGCTTCAGATAAACAGCTGGAGTTCAACATGCAGGAGGACAGCATGACCTCGCCCTCTGAGATCCACCCCAGCACCTGAAACACAGACCCACAGGTAGAGATAATCACCTGCAGTGCTCGGCTATCACCTGGATCTGTAGCTGTGTACATGTGAATGAGTGTGTGCTACCTGTTTGACCTGGCTCTGCAGGTGTCTCAGCTGCAGGTTCTGCTCCAGGTGTGTGTGCGTGTGATCTGCGATCTGCTGCAGCTCCTTCTGTTTGTCCTGCAGGAGGCGCTGCAGTTCATCCACCTGGGAGGAGAGGCCGCCTTCTGCCTCCGACAGCTCGATACCTGACACACAAACATGATTTTAGACCTTCAAAGCTGGGACATTTTTGGTGACCAGGTCCTCACATGTATAGTTGTGCAGTTATGCTTGTGTCTATCTCCAGTCATGTTTGCATGCCTGCGTGAATGCATGTATTTGCTTGTGTGTGTGTTTGGCTCCATGGTAATTTCAATACACTGGTTTCCATGGGTGCCAGCTGTGTGCTTCAGAGAGCAGTTTCCATGGAAACCCCATCCCTCTTTTCCCCCTGCCCCCATCATCCTCTCTGCACCCCCCCACCCCACCCCTAATATCATCAGTGTGTTGCTGAAGCGGTCAGATTGTGCTAACTGCTTTCTATTCCTTTCTGCTGTATTTGCACAGTAGATATGAAAATGTAATTAATATGGCAGCCTGTTCTGATTGCTGCCTGTGTATGGTTGTTTGACACCATCACGGACCCCTGGAATACCCTCAAGGAAATCAAAAACCCTCTCAAGTACTTCTGAAAGCCCCAAAATTAAATCAGAAAACCCTTCACACTACAGGAAGAACATCAAGGACCACATAAACCTTTTCATTACTCATTTCTGCCCCAGTTACCTCTCCAACCTGTCCAGTGTAGCAGTTAAACCCCATTTGGGACTGCTAGGACCCCTTCAAGGACCACATGAACTGTAACAGGAACCTGTGGAAACCCCTCAAAAGTTACATCACCACTAGCAACAGTGTGACTCTTACCTGATGCCTGCACCTCCGTGATGTACTGCTGAAGGTCATGACCTTGCTGGATGACCTCATAAATCATGTTGTTCATAGCCAGCCTTCGCTCCATGTGCCTGCAGATCAATCAGCCGGTCAATTGATGCCTTTTATTGATGAGTCATGACTGCATTTAGCAAGGATGATGGCATCAGACTGGCCTGCTTACCTGTGGATGCGCTGCTGTGCTAGGGTTAGCGCTTCAGGACTAGCCTCCATTAGCCGTGACTGGCCCAGTGCTAACTTGTCCTGGCCTAGCTTGTCCTGGTTTGTGTCAGCTAGCCGTGGTGAGGTTAGCTTCTCAGCTGAGAAGTCCTGGGACTGTTTCTGGAGGTCCTGCTTCCAGGCGTCCATTTCCCCACTCACCTAAGAGACACCAATCACGTGAGTCCTGACCTTGATCCAACTTAGTGGCAGGAGGTTCAAGAAATGCTTTGGGAGAATTGTAAAATGTAATAAATATGAGCAAACTTAAACAGTGTACCTCCAACGTACACTGCTGCAGTATGCGGAGCTGCAGATAAACATCCAGTCGGATCTTCCTCTGGTGGAAAAGTTCCTCCAGCTGAACATGAGACTCCTCCAGCTGCTGCAGGACCGACTCCACGTGGGCCACCGAGCTGCCCTGGGGCCTGAAACAAAACGCACCCACACATTGTATAGACGTGGGCACAAATCTCTGAGCTACCCTGGTGAGTGAAACAAGCACACCCACAGAAGTCATATCCAGGCTAACCATGCAACAGTGAGCCATGAATCAAACACACCCACACTCTGTGTTGTGTACCTGAGTTGCAGGATGAGGTCTTCTCCTTCCCGGATGACACTCATCGCAGCTTCCTGTGGGTCAGTGTTAGAGCTCGGGTTAGTGTGAGGGTTAGAGGTGAGGGGTCAGAGGTTGGGGAGGTGTTAGGTTGTTATGATGGGGTCAGGTCAGAGGACTGGGGTCAAAGTTAGGCTGGTACCTGTGTGTTGGCCTGTTGTTGCTGCTGTTGACTGATACGTGTCTGCAGAGCCTCCACGGTGTCTGGAAAAACACAGAGGTCTGAGGAGAGCTGCTTCTGGAGGCCCTCCATCCACACTGAGAGCTGGAGAGGGGGAGGAGAGGATGTGGAGGAAGAGGACAACAAACAAGAGAAGAAGAGGAGATGAGGAAGGGAGGATGAGAGGAAAGGAGAGGAGCAGGATGAAGAGAAAGGAGAGTGAGAAAGGAGGATAAATCACAACGAAGGAGCAGAAAATGAAGAGGAAGAAGGAGAGGAATGGAAGGAATAGTCAAGGAGGAGAAACAAGGATGAGCAGGAGGTGAAAGAGGATAAAAAATTGACGAGGAAGATGAATCGGAGGAGGAGAAGAGGAGACAGTAACTGTTAAAACTTTTCTTGTAGTTGGTTGGCTTTCATTATCCTAAGTCAGACATTTCTGTTTTTGCATTAATTGGCTTGATTCTCTTTAGGCTTCGGCTAAAAACAAACCAAATTACATTAAGTGGTTTCATAGTTACACTGTAATGATATACTGATATATTGTTATGTACAGTATATCATTGTGTATGGTACCTCCTTGGTGTGTGTGTAGAAAGACACAGCGAGGTCCAGCAGCAGTTTCCTCTGCTCAACCCGCTGGATAAACGCCTGCAAACACATTGACAACACAGCACCACATGATACTTAACACATCGCCTGCTCTTCTCTCCAGATATGAGCCTAAAAATCTAAATAGGCTAAAGCAAAAGTATGTAACAGTAAAGTGAAACTAGCAGAAAGGATTGCAAACTGTAAAAAAAAAAAAAAAAGACATGAAAGTCACACACAAAGCATTTCTGCAATTAAATGTAATCCAATACTCTACATTTTTGACCTCCCATTACAGGACTTTCAAAATATTAGGAACACCTTTGAATAAAATGCAGCCGGTACACCTTCAACCGTAACCTCAATAATTATTCATTTAATGCACAGCTTGTTAACTTATTTAAAAAGAAAATAATGAGACAAGATTCAGTCGTAAACTCTTAATGCAAACTCAACAGTTCCTGTAGCTGCTTTTCAGAGTAAAAGTCTTGCAGTAGAGTCTGACTGTTGATAGTCTGTTTTACATGTTTACAAGTTAGTTTCCTATATGCAATGAGCCATTCTGACCAAATAAGAAAAAAAATAAATAAATGTGTAAATTGCTAATTCAGTCATTTCCTCTGTCTGTCAGTTACCTGCATGCGAAGCTCCAGGTCTCTCGCTGCCTGGTAGATCTCCTCCTCCTCACACTCTCCAGAATGAGCCAGCTGATCTGCCGCTTCCAGAAGCTTCTCTGCATTAGTGTAAGTGTTCTGACACACACAAAGATAAAGACGTTATGAGTGCTGTCATTTGGCTCAGTCAGTTAGTACTTTAATCAGTACTCAGTGTTAATCAGTGTTAGATGATGTTCTGTTGTATTTGATCCTAACCCAGAACAGTTAGTGGTGTTTAGGCTCCGTCCTCCTCTCAGGCCTTAACACTCAGCTCTGATCTGTGTGTGTTGCTGCTTCCCGTCCGTGTGTGCCAATGCCATGTATCCGGCTCCAGTGTGAACACCGCTGAGCTTCTAAACTGCCACACATGCACAGATGCTTCTCCATGAATGTCCAACACATTTGAAATGTCCTGGTCTCTCCACTGACCCCGTCGTTGGCATCGCTCTCCTCCATGTTTATTGTTACCGGTCTTTGAGGGGCTGACGTCGAATGATGACAACAGGCCGTATGTGTAGAGGAGGAAACATTAGAACAACCACATGGATTCTGATCTGACCGTTCTGACAGCGCCCACACAGTCAGAGGTCGGAGAGGCATCGGATCTAGGAGCCCATACGCAGGTGGCCCAGATCTGATCTAAGGACATCTGGTCTGGTCTGTTCACACTGCTGTGGACACACCAGGTCTGGGGTGATGTGAAAGTAGCTTTAGTTAATCCAGGTCTAAGTGTAGTTTATGTTTTACCTGTGCAACCTGCTGGAAGTCGTCGTGGCGTTTCTGCAGCGCTCGTGCTCGGTGCAGAGACTTCCCCACTCCGCTATGTTTGTTCAGAAAAACCTCCCCATGCTGCTCCACCCAGTCCAACACCTGAGGGATTGACAGGAAAGGAGAGACAGTGAGAAAATCTGACCCTGACCCTGGATCTTATGGAAGCCTGTTTATGCCAAGAAATGCATCAAAAGTCAACATAAAAACTACTCATAGTAAGTCAAAATTCTGATTGATGAAGTCAGAATTCAGAGAAAATAAGTCTAAATTACAACTTAGCAAATGCAAAATATGAGCTATAGAGTCACAATTATAAAATCAGAATTGTAATTTAAAATAAGTTAACAAAAGCAAATAAATAAAAAGTCTAAATGTGAAATATTAAGACAAAACTGAAACTGTAAGTCTAAATTATTAGTCTAAATTATTTGAAGTACAAAATGTGAGAAATAAGTCAAAATAATTGTGAAAATACGCAAAATATGAGTTTTGAAGTCAAAAATGAGACACTAGGCCAAATTACAAATACTAAAAATTGACTAAGATTTTTGATTTGTGTCAAAATTATGAGATAAGATTTAAAACAAGGATCAGACCGAGGAAAAAAATACAGTTCCTTAAATAAAAATTGTGAAATACTTATGAGATGTCATGTGTTTATTTAATGTAATACATCAAAATATTAAGAGATATTAAGCCAAAATTACAGTGCCTTGCGAAAGTATTCGGCCCCCTTGAACTTTGCGACCTTTTGCCACATTTCAGGCTTCAAACATAAAGATATAAAAGTGTAAT